CCCTGTTTAACCAAGCGAGATGGCGTTCTCGCGGGCGCTTGGGTAGCCGCATAGTCGTTCGACCAATCAAACTGGCGCCACGAGAGCATTTAAAATTTTAGATACACATTAAAGAGTTCTGGAACGGGAGTCTATCCCTGCCTTCAAGAAGAAGAAATGGAGCATTTCAGAATAGTAATCTTAGCTTAGCTGCTGGACAAGTACGCGCGATTGTAGCGTTAAAGCGAAGCGTAGGAGTTCGCTTGCTGGATCCCCTAGAAAAGGCAATGTAAGTTATACAGTTTTATTCTCAACCGTCGGCACTTCCGATGTTGGTTGACGTTCCTGCATAAAATTATTGATGAACTTCTCGGGGCAGCCATTTCCTTGTAAGAGGTTTATAAAATCTTCGTAAGCGTTGGAAAAATGAAAACAGACTAGTTCCGGCCAAACTCTCACCAGCGAGGAGGCAACAACCATTGCACGCACTGAGTACAACACATAGATTGCCTCGGCTAGGACATCGATCGCCCAAATGTGCTTAGGTTGGCATGGACCGTTTTGATTGGCTGTGAACTAAGGTTAAATGCCTGAGCGTGCGGCTGCCTCTACTTCATCTACTGCAACTGCTGCTGTTGATTTTACAGCACCATAGCAACTCTGACACAGCCGGCGTCATGTTCTGCACATACCGAGAGACGTTCTTTGATGAGATACTAATGAAAGATGCCTGCACAGAGTTCAGCCAGCTGCAGAGGGAAATTGTGCTTGTCGATCTGACTCTCAAGGTTAGTTTGTCCCATTTTACCAGCCCTAATGCAGTCCATCTTTTCCGTGCCCTTAAAAGACGCACAATGATCTGCTTGTCAAAGTGCATCGTGTTGTTTTTGCGGCTCGTTTGCCAAAACTGCAAGACTGTATTTGTAGTTCCACCGACTCAACACTTGATTGGTCTCGTTTCTCACAGAGGTAGGTCTGGCGTCCCACAGCACCGTAATAACTATATCCAGCTCGGTGAAAGCATTGACCGAGTACGTTTACACAGGCCGACTGGAGGTTTCCACGAGGACGGTGCAGCCAATATACCTTCTGGCTGCCTCTGTGGAATTGGAGCATGTACGTCGTTGGTGCGAACAGTTTATGGTTCAACGGTGAGTCCCAGTTGGGTATTTTAAGTCCAGGCTATATATTTTCCCAATTGCTATTTTATTAATTTCTGTATCTGTGCTTCATTATACATGACCTCTCATTAATGACGCTGGAAAACTTATCTGATAGACGGCTGTTAGAATGTAGAGCATAAAAACAGCAGGTTGCCCAAAAGGTGTCCTCAAGTGCAATGTCAACCGATAGGTGTCACAGGCAAAACGCAGATCGGCCCGTCATGATTTGCAACAAACCAGCAGAAGATCAAGAAACCAGTGAAGAAGACTGCCTGAATAGAAAATTCAACATAAATATAGTCATTTTCTGAGCACGCCACTGCCTATCAATAGTCCCACGCATTCAGCTTGGAGTAAAATGACAGCCGATTGCGTAGGATATTCGGCTTTCTCTTTCCTGAAACTTTTGTTCCCGTAAAGACAGCACTGAATCGAGTCCATCCGAAAGCCGTTTTACCAGCAGGGGCTGACCTGACACGGCATCCCAATTTTTACTTACCACAATACGACAAGCATAGCACAGAAAGCGCGGTCCATTCGGTTTGTGGCATGCTTAGACGGCATCAGTTCAGCTCTGTCAAACACATGAGTGCATTTCTCTCTGAAGGAAATTTGATAAGATGGCATCTGGTGGGCGATGCCGAAAAATGTGGTGGGGACTGGAATTAAAATTTCTGCCTCCCCCCCTTAAATGGAGCGCTGTTTGACGTACCATTTAGGGCAACCAGTTGAGACACATTGCGTTGGGTAATTTTTGGAAGAGGTTCTTGGAGGCTGGAAGTCGGATCAAACGCCTGAACTGACCATCCCCTGTCGACCGCAAAATCCTTCTTTCCTACTAGAAAAATACACTTTCTTGAGCGTTTTCCACGAGGTTGATTCGTCTGCATGTGAGAATTCTCTTCAGTTGATTGTAGGCATTTCCTAAAAGAAGTAATTCTGACAGTAGTAATCTCATCTGCTAAAATGATGAGTTCGAGTATTTTCCAACATACAAAACGCTCCACTGACGGTTTTAGATATGGACCAGAAAATTATGCACTAAAATGTCAGCCTCAGAGAACTCAAGATGGCCTGAGAAATGGGATTATTATTTAGCTCACCGTCCCTTATTGCTAACTGGTCCTCCGTTACTGGGATCGCCGTGAATGGAGCATGATCGCTCGAGTAGTTGTCGCAGCCACTCAGGATAACTCGATCTGGAGGGGAAGACTTTTGGATTTGACGACATTCTTGTTTTGAGAGTTTGGAGGATGATATAGAACATAAGATACAATTATGGAAATAAGCTTCAGAAAACAGAAAAATCATGAAGTATTCACCAGACCTTTAAGAACTAATTATAATGCAATCACAAAAAACCTATAGAAACTTCTGACGAAAGTAGATTTCATTTAATATGCATTCAATGGTTTGTTCATGGTTTCATCTGAAAAATATCTTTACAGTTATAAGTGAGAGTTACAGTGATTTTTTAAGATGTTTCGTATTTCTAAAAAGAAATAATATCCAGTTTTACTTTCCCTTTAATTTTTAAATCCACATAAAGTTGTTTGTTGTTATTGGTAAGTTTTTGTACAGATTACCTGTTAGAGTTCATCAAATATGGGTTGACAACGCGGAAGCTGGATCCCTACTCTCTTATCACATGGAACAAACCTGCTCACATCCTTGAGTCGAGAAAAAAAACATTGTAGGCTGAGGCAGTTCAATAACCGAGTAACCATTCTCAAAGAGATGTGCTTCGATACACGTTTAATAAAAATATGCACAAATCCCCGCCGGGTTTATCAAGTTCTGAACAATTACCTGAAAAGCAGCAGATTCAAAGAAAGCTAACTGGTAGTACCTTTATCATGTGCGGGAGTTTTAAACTGAAGTACCACCCTTTTCTTAACTCCATTCGCATGTTGTTTTTCTTACGGCTTGTTAGCTGCCATCAGCCAGTCATTCCCAGTCTCAAGGGTCGAACCTCCGAGATTTTAACCCGGGACCTTTAGTCATTGAGATAACCACTCTACCATTGCACCACGGGCTCGTCGATTTGTCGGTTGAGATCGGGAATATGATGAACATGTGGGCATCGCTGATGTAATATTGAAACAATTAAGTTTAGTTTTGGCTCTGGAGCTCATACAAACTCCAACCACCTCCAATTTTTTCAGAAGAACGAACCGGACTTCAAGGTATGTTCCTTGGGATTTCTACCTTTAAACTTATACATATATAATTTATTTTATGTATTGCTGACAAAGACAGTGGGATATTCAGGAAGGCCTTTCCTGGCTTATTTACCGTCGTCAGCTGGAGATACCCAAATCCTGTGTAGCAGCAGAAATTAACCCCACACTCGAATTTCGAACTCGCGTCTCTCTGGCCAGAGCAAAACGCCCTAACCTTTGAGCCCTCATCAGCTAGTGATACCCAACTCCAGTGTCTTAGCTGCGATTGCTGTCACACTCGAGTTTCGAATTCGCGTGTGCCGGTCAGAGGCAAACGTCCTAACCATTAAGCAACGAGTTCGCTGTCTTGTCGGTTTTAGATCCACAGTATATAGGAGTAGGTAACTATACGCCGATCTGTTTCAAGGATATATAAAAGAGACAGGTAGAGCATTTCAAAACCCTACTAACAGATACAGATTCTGTCAAATATTGCATAACTTTCTAAGCCATATATATGAAGTATAGAAATCGTTGTTCTCTACAAAATATATCACCCCTTAGGCAGCCCTTCCCCCTGCCACGGCACCGATTAATAATTTTCTCTTCGATGACCAGCCACAATCCGGCATAAAGTTTAGGTGCACGCACGCACGCACGCATCTCGCAGCGGTCCTGAAAATGTAAGTGACCGATTATAGGCTGGCTGTTAGGAGTAATCCTTACCTGACCCTGGCCTGCCGACCTGATGACTCGTCCCACGCCGCATTATCGACCGGCCCATGGCCCTCCCGCGTGACGCCATCACAAAAGCTGCCTATGGGATAAGTGCTCTGCCCAATTATCTGCATGCTACCCTCTCAAGGACACTATCGGATTGGTCTGATTGCAGTCTGACCTTGTATACGCAGGCATGCCTCTTTTTGGCATCAAATAAATTGCACAAAGGGCGTCTATTTACCCCCTATTTTCGGGCCCTTGCTGTGATGAATCCAGATACACTCAGCATAGTCAGAAATTCAAAGAAAAATCCCATAGGGAGCTCAAGTCACGAAGACACCGGTAACTAGGTCAGTTGTCGACGCCAGTGAAATTCAAACTCGCAGGCAAGTTGTTGATTCATCCGTTCCCTCATATTTTATCTTGCTACTTCTTTCCTCCAGGTCAGCCATTTA